TTGAAAGCCACCAGACTGAATCATTCTTGCCCACAGCCCATTCTCCACTCTTTCCTGGATCGCAGGCCCATGTTAGCTCCCAGGCTCACACCAGCAGACTGGGCTTGCATAGGTAGAATTTGTGAATGCCTTCATTTAACCAGTGTGCCAGGCCCTGTGCCAAGCACTGGGGATACAACATCAGGCATGGTCTCTACCTTGAGACAACTAGTGAGAGAGATTGCCATTAATCAAATTATCATGTAAATACATGTAGAACCGCACTTGTGATTAATGCGGTGGAGATGACATAAACGGTAATAATATAACAGCGTATAGGAGAGACCTGACCTTGACTGGGGGTCAGAGAAGGCATCCTAAGGGACTGGTGTTCTTGGGATTAAATTATCTGGGTCAGGCTGCTTAAGGAAATGGTCTCTTGTTATCTCAAGAGCCAGTGGGAAAGGCAACCCAGTGTTTTTCTAATGAAGCTCAGTTTTTCAAGCTTCAAGTGAAGCTTGAGTTTCTAATGAAACTCAGTGTTTTTCTAATGAAGCACATAAGTACCAAGAACTGGGCACAGAAACTCACCTTTTAGTGACAGATCTGAGAAAACATTCAACTGTGGCAAAGATGCTGGCACACTTTGCACATTGAAAAATATTTTTCTGAACCACTTCTGAACTGAGAAATAAAACATAGTAGGGTCTCTCCCTCTCCTTTAAAGAATTCATGAGAAAGCTTTAAGAATGAAATTTGAGGTGGAAGAAAAAGGAAAAAAAAAAGGTCAAACAAAAGTAGAAAATAAGACACTACAGAAAGAGTTGTGATAGGAAAAGTACACCTCTGGAGGATAAGTCCAAGAATTAATTTTAGGAAAAACTAATAAGAATGATGGCAAGAAACAATCTTTATGGCCTCAGAAATGAAGTAAAAATACAATGACCTAACAAGCTGAGGAAAAAGCAATTTTGCCTATAGCACTAAGACGCAGTGAGATGTAACCTTAACAATCCCAGGCCTCAGTTTCTGTAACTGAAAATGAAGACATTGGCTTAGATCAGTGGTTCTCAATCTTGTGCATCAGAATCAGAATCAGAATCACTTAGAAGGCTTGTTCAAATACAGATTGTTAGGCCTCACCCACCAGAGATTCAGAAGGTCTCGGATGGGGCCTGAGAATTTGGATTTATAACAAGTTCCCAGGTGATGCTGATGCTGATGCTGATGCTGCTGGTCCAGGGACCTCAGTCTGAAAACTGCTGGGCTAGATGCTCTCTCCACAGTCTCTACAGGCCTGACCTTTCTCTGATTTTATGCCTATGAATTCCAGAAAAAGAAAATACAGTAATACTGACTGGTATGAAAAGTTTTAGAACAGTCTATGTCATACACATCCTTATATCTGCAAATCAAGATCAGTGCTGTATGCCTCACATTACTGCTTCTCAGTTTCTATAATTTACCTTTTATAATGCTTAGCATAGCACAATGCAAGAAGGATCCTTCACTAAATAGAGCTTTAGATGATTGTGATAAACTTCTCACAGGTTCAAGATGTGGAAGAGCAGATCTAAAATTAGAGTACTTCAACAGCTACAGAGCTAAGTAATTATGTCTTTTTTTCAGCTCCAAAAAGGTCGAGAATCTAAAGCTTATAGCCTTAATGAAAAATAAGAGAACACAGCCCCAGTAACAGAAAAAAAAAAAAGGAAGAGACACCTATGTGGGAAGAAAAACATAGGAAAAAAAGCTCTCGGGGGCTGGCCTGGTGGTGTAGCAGCTAAGTTTGTGCGCTCCACTTCGGCGGCCTGGGGTTTGTGGGTTCGGATCCCGGGCACGGACTGACACAATGCTTATCAAGCCATGCTGTGGTGGTGTCCCATATTAAGCAGAGGAAGATGGGCACAGATGTTAACCCAGGGCCAATCTTCCTCAGCAAAAAGAGGAGGATTGGCAACAGATGTTAGCTCAGGGCTAATCTTCCTCACAAAAAAAAAAATGCTCTCATGCATATATAAAGAAATTCAAACATGGGAATACACGGTTAGGTGGAATGGCACTGAGGTTCTTGTGGGATATTGACTCTGAGGACTTTTATTTTTATTTATTTATTTGCTGATGAAGACTCACCCTGAACTAACATCTGTTGCCAATCTTCCTCTTCTTGTACGGGAGCTGCCGTGACAGTATCGCCACTGACAGACGAGCGGCGTAGGTCTGCACCTGGGAACAGAACCCAGGCCGTGGCAGCGGAGCGCGCCAAACTTAACCACTAGGCCACTGGGGCTGGCCCTGAGGACTTTTAAATATGTTGCATTTTTGCAATTATCAATGCATGTACCTATCCTGTTCATCTAAACAGTGTACAAGAACCAACACTTTCAGAGCTTTACAGTGGCAGGAATGGGTCCTGCTTTCAAGGCATTAATTTAAACATGTTCCACCAACCTACAGAAAAGTTTTTCACATCTGAAATGACTTAGAACGGTTAGTTTCATTTCTAGGCTACATTCAATTCAGTGTACATTTACCTAATGAATATCCAGAGGAGAATCCTATTTATTTTTAAAATGAATTTAACTTAAACTGGCTCTTCCACTTGGGACAACAGGAAAGCCTGGCTTTCCCTTGTAATGTGATGCCAGCGTCTTTCTTGGTCAGCACTTGGAGGCAGTCATATATCATGCTGGAAAGGCCGGATGATACCTCCATTTCACAGGGGCCCACAGAGGTTGAGAGGGACAGAAATAGGACTAGAAGTGGGGTCTGACGTCAACGTCAGTTTGGTACTCTGCCTACAGCAATTCATGCACTCACACCCAGTCCTTTGGGAAAACTGGAGGAGTTCTCCTGGCCTCTTCCATGTGTGCTAAAGTCAAGCCAGAATTCTCACTAAAAAAAACTGAAAGCACACAAGGAATGCACCTCATGGTCACAACAGGCTCAGTGACTCCTTTGGGGCCTGAGTGAGCAGTGCCTGAGGGCAGGTCCAGCTGACATGAGCTCTCCCAGCCCCAACAACTGGGCCCTGGAATCATGTACCTGCAAGAACAGACCAAGGACCCTTATTCACACCCTCCTCCTCCTAACAACAGAGATGTGGAGAGAAGGCTGACAGCCCTGCTTTTTTTTTTAAAGATTTTATTTATTTATTTCCCCCCCCCAAAGCCCCAGGAGATAGTTGTATGTCATAGCTGTACATCCTTCTAGTTGCTGTATGTGGGACGCGGCCTCAGCATGGCCGGAGAAGCGGTGCGTCGGTGCGCGCCCGGGATCCGAACCTGGGCCGCCAGCAGCAGAGCGCACGCACTTAACCGCTAAGCCACGGGGCCGGCCCGGACAGCCCTGCTTCACTGAAGGTGAGGACACATAAGCCTCTGGTCATCCCTGTCCTTCCTGTTTATATTAAATGGCCCAAAATCTAGCGTTTTCCTGTACCAGGAACCAGAAAACAGCAGGTTTGTGGCCAAAGAACCCTGAGATTTCCTCTTTGTTTCTACATAGCTTGGAAATGGTCTCTGTGGGGACCCTAAAATTCAAGGAGACTGAGAGCCTCTAGAACTGCCTCTGGATACACCTGGCCTCACCAACCTGCATTCATGCCACAAGGGATGGCAAGAAGTCAAGTGACCACCATAGCTTGATTCCCCTTGAACCAGCCCTCTGTTAAAATGTTGGCTTAGGTCTACTTCTAAACTCAATCTAGGAGTGATTATCTGCCCTCCTAAGAATCTAGGGCCAATGAATAGCTCCAATGTCACACATCCTCAGAGAGAGCTTTCTGGAAAAGACAAATCATCTATAATTTTTGGCCAAAACTTACATGCCCCAAATCAACAATCAGACAGACTCATGTTCTTGCTCACTTCAATGAACATTTATCTTTCCCAACCCATTAGGCCAGAGGTGACAGACACCTCTTATCCTCAGAACAACGGAGGGACAAGTAGCAGATCTCCACTGTGGTAGTGGCCAGCTTCATGGCATACCAGTGTCTGGGCCCAGAGATCTCTGACTGCATCAGAGAGACACTTGGTTCCTATCACCTTAAATAAAACAATTACTCTGTCAATTAATTACATGCCACCTGAATTGTTACTTAAGTCTTTTCTCATTTACCTTGTAATGTGTGCTATTTCTAGTCTCTTCAATTGGGCTGTGAAATCTGAAGGCAGGGAGCACTCTGATCCAACCCTGCTCTGAACGTCCAGAATGACATCAGAACAGTGAATGGCACACAGGAGGCATTAAAAAAAATAATTGCTGGATGAATGGTTAATGGTTTGTTTTCCTATTAAATTAGATTCTGATTTATATAAGACAAAGAGAAGAATTCGTCTACAGTGGACAGGAAAGAGAAGCCCAACAGGAACTGAAGGAGAATAGCTCAGCAAGCCACGCCCCACCAGGGGCAGGAGGTTGCTGAGCCAACTGCTTCCCAAGGGAGCAGAGATATGAGCAGGCTGTCCTGTGGATCCCGCCAGGGAAGCCCAGGGCTGTCAGAGAGCATTCCTGCCTCTGGCATACAAGATCGCAAAGTGTGGCAGGAAGGGTGTGTGCTCAATCTAGTCAAGGACGGATAAAACATGGGAAATGGTAGCCTTGTTACACACCCTCCTCTCCTTCCTGTGGTGCTGCCTGCCACAGAAATGGAAGAACAAATGCATCAATCACAACCAATTTCCCAGCACCCAAGTCTCTGAAATGCTGACTTCACAGAGGCAAACTTTACGTTGCCTGAAATGTAATACTCTCTAGCCCCTGTGACAGGCCAACTCTTAAGGTATTTGGTTAATGTTTGCTCAGGGATTTACCTATGGGAGGTGGTGAAGGCTGCGTCTTTCCCAGCCACTAGAGCATTTCCTCCCACAGCTGTAAGACCCCTCAATGTGCCCTCCTCCAGCACTGCTCCAGGGTTAAGTGCTATCCCAGAGTACTACTACCTGCAGACCCAAGCCCAAGAAGGACCACCCAGAGGGAGACACAATCTGCCCTTGCTACGGCCTGATCATCCATACCTAGAGCCTTCACAGATATTTGCCGGGTGAGTGGAGGGGGGATGTTGATGCACACCAGATCCACGTCTTGATGCAACAAGACGTCATCGGTCCGGCTGGTGTAGAAGGTGATGTTCATCTCCTCCGCAAGCTGCTTCGCCTCCTCCTCAGTCTTCCCCCACAGGGCCTCCACGGTGAACCCTTCTGCCCTCAACAGTGGGACCAGAAGCCGGGCGGAGCTGCCGGTCCCAAACACGCCCACTCCTGGGAGCATCTTCATGCCAACTTCTCTCTTCACCAACTCATCTCCTCACAAGAGCCTCCAGCATGAATACGACCTTCCCACAGTCCTGGTCAAACATGGCTCCTGGAACAGCAAGCAGTACACTGGTCATTAATGAAGGGCACACTCTGCTGAGGCTACTTTCTGGGCTTATTCGGAAGCAACAAGTTCTCTGCCACAAAAGCACAAATGAATACTGCTCCATGAAAAGCTGCAGAAGCTTCTCCTATGGAGACTTAAGGATATTAGCAATATGCATCTACTCGGAAGGAGGAAAAATGTAAAATGAAAAATGAGTAAAGCGGGGTTCAAATCTCTGTTCTGTTACTTAATTTTCTGTGACTCTGGTCAAATCATTTAACCTTCAGGGTCTTATGTGTAAAAGTTCATGATTCTGTGATATTACATTACAGAAAGAAAAAGAAGAATGGGAAACAAAACCCAGTAAAAGATGAAAGAGAATTACCTAGGTGCTATACAGATTATAATTTAAAAGTTAATGACAGGGGCCGGCCCTGTGGCTTAGCGGTTAAGTGCACGCGCTCCGCTACTGGCGGCCCGGGTTCGGATCCTGGGCACGCACCAACGCACCGCTTCTCCAGCCATGCTGAGGCCACGTCCCACATACAGCAACTAGAAGGATGTGCAACTATGACATACAACTATCTACTGGGGCTTTGGGGAAAAAAAAAACTAAGAGGATTGGCAGTAGATGTTAGCTCAGAGCTGGTCTTCCTCAGCAAAAAGAGGAGGATTAGCATGGATGATAGCTCAGGGCTGATCTTCCTCATGAAAAAAAAAAAAAAAGTTAATGACAGCAAGCATAGGAAAATGTTCAGTAGGAAAAAAAAAAAAATCAAAAAAATGTTTTTCAACTACCAAACTGGCAGCAACAAAAAAGATGTTTAAAATTATACTTTTGTATAAAGATATTCACGCCAACATTGACTATGATAGTGAAAAACTGGGAAACAATCTGGATGTTCAATAACAGTAATGGGTTACATAAATAACACTATGGAGCCACTGAAAACCAAGAGGTAGATGGCCCTCAATGACCTGAAAGACACTGCCATATATTCATTAAAAAGGGGGAAAACAAAACAATATGTGAAGTATGACATCAATTTTGTTAAAAAAAAGTGTAAAGGAAGTATATATGTATGAGAATATACAAGGATTTCTATATCTATAAACATATTTCACACATAACAGAAGGACCAGAATACACCTGAATTTAATAATGATTACTCATGTTGATGTGATTATGATTTTTGTTTTTTGAATTTTGCCAAATTTTCTACAATGAATATGTCTTATTGTGGAGTTTTTCCATCTGATCATAAGGGTTATAAAATGAAATAAAGGGCTGGCCCCGTGGCTTGGTGGTTAAGTGAGCGCGCTCCACTGCTGGCGACCCGGGTTCGGATCCCGGGCTCGTACCGACGCACTGCTTCTCCGGCCATGCTGAGGCCGCGTCCCACATACAGCAACTAGAAGGATGTGCAGCTATGACACACAACTATCTACTGGGGCGTTGGGGGGAAAAAATAAAAAAAAAAAAAACTTAAAAAAAAAAAAAAAAAAAAAATGAAATAAAAACCAGACCAAACAAAAGTCTGCTTGGAAACCAAGACAAGATTTAGATGTGCTCTGGGTATCAGGTTCCCCATATGGCACCCCCTTAGCTAAACCAGTGGTCCCCACTCTGGCTGTGTATTAGGGTTACTGCTGACCCCAGACCCACCAAATCACACTGTGGGGATGAGGCTGTGTCATCATCATTTTCTTTTATTTGGTTTTTATTTTTTTGTGGTAAAATACACATAAAATTTACCATCTTAACCATTTGTAAGTATACAGTTCAGTGGTATTAAGTACATTCATATTGTTGTGCAACCATCACCACTATCCACCTCCAAAACTCATTTTATCTTGTAAAACTGAACTTCCGTACCCATTAAACAATAACTCCTCATTTCAACCCCTCCTCCCAACTCCTGGCAACCACCATTCTTTTTTTTTTTTTTAAGATTTTATTTATTTATTTATTTTTCCCCCCAAAGCCCCAGTAGATAGCTGCATGTCATAGCTGCACATCCCTCTAGCTGCTGCATGTGGGACGCGGCCCCAGCATGGCCGGAGAAGCTGTGCATCGGTGCGTGCCCGGGATCCGAACCCAGGCCGCCAGCAGCGGGGGGCGCGCACTTAACCGCTAAGCCATGGCGAACAACCACCATTCTATTTCTGTCTCTGTGAATCTGGTTACTCTAGGTACCTCATATTAAATGAAATCGTACAGTAATCGTCTTTTTGTGATGGGCTTATTTCACTTAGCATGTCCTCCAGGTTCATCCATGTTGTAGCATATGTCAGAATTTCCTCCCTTTTTAAGGTCGAATAATACTCCATTGCATGTACATATCACATTTTGTTTATCCATTCATCTTTCTATGGATATTTGGGTTACTTCCACGTTTTACGTACTATGACTAATGCTGCTATGAACATGAGTGTACAAATCTCTCTCAAATCCTGCTTTGAATTCTTTTGGGTATATACCCAGAAGTAAAATTGCTGGATCATACAGTAATTCTATTTTTAACTTGTTGAGGAACCACTATACTATTTTCCACAGGCGCTATACCATTTTAAATAATTTTATAAACACTTTACAGTCCCTTAGTCTACCAATTATCTTAAAAATTCTGACTACTTCTGATCTTGGTCACTGCAAATCACACGCTTTAAAAAGGTTTATCCAAATGTATGATTTTGATGGTCTACTTTTATCCGCATAACATTGCTTCACTTGCATCTCCTCACAGATCACAGTCAACCTATCTGTCAGTTTAACGGAGACAAGGCATTTCTTTTGTAAATGCATCATAATCAACTATTTCATTCCCCAACTCTGAGTACTAGGGATACATACGTCTCTTCCCTCCCCAACCATGACATCCACCTACCTTTCTGGTCATTTCTTTTTTTTGTTTTTTTTTGTTTTTTTTTTTTTTTTTGTGTGGAAGATTGGCCCTGAGCTAACTAATTGGCCCTGTTGCCAAT